AAAGCCCCCCCCCCCTCCTCATATTTTTTTCTTTCGTTAATTCTTTCATTTTTCATAATTTTTTCTATTTCTTCATTACATTTTTCTCCCTTTTTATATTTTTCCCCATGTTTTACCGACCCACTTGCAATGATATATATCATATTTCTTTTTTGGGGCAGTGTACACCAATAACTAGTAATGTGCGTATTTCTATTATTTTTGTTTTTTCCCAACTTCTTAATCGCCTTATTTCTTTAATCTCCGTTCCACCCGCCCAGTTTTCCAACCTCATCTTTCTTTAATCTCCGTTCCCGCCCGCCCAGTTTTCCAACTTCTTAATCCTCATCTGTCTTTAATCTCCGTTCCACCTACCCAGTTTTCCAACTTCGTAATCGTCTTCTTTCTGTAATCTCCGTTCCACCTGCCCAGTTTTCCAACTTATTTATTTAAACTTCTCTTCTTTTCCTTTCGTAGATTATTTTATTAGTTCCTTTTCATTCGTGTTTCCTCTCTACTCTTAGTACCAGGCCACTAAAAACTAGGATTTTTGATAGTTTCGTGGATTTATCCAACGTATATTTATAAATTTGATCTTAATTGGGGGATTTTCAACTATTTTGTCTTAAATTTTATTCCTGGGTTTTTTCCTCAGTTTGTTTTGATCCAAAGCCGAGGCTTTTTTAGAACCGTCTTGAAGTTTGTGGCTTGTGAGTCCTGTAATTTTAAGGTCAAGACTGTCAAGTATGTCCTAGACTGGGGGTAAAAAACTGCATTTTCGATCAAAATGTTAGATTTTGTGTTTTTGATTAAAGCCAGGAGATGACTAAGTGTATTGCCACCCCCTCCCTCACCCCACACCCTCCAACTACCCCTATTGAGAACTAGAGAGGGGGAGGGGGGGATGTATGGGTGGTCCCAATTCTAAAAATTCTTTACTGAACACTACCCTCTATACTCTACACTCTGTCATTTAAAAGTAATTTTTGTTAAAACCTCTCTCTCTCTCTCTCTCTCTGCTCGGAATTTAGATTAAAGAATTCTAGATTTGTGTACATAGAACCACACAGCACCACATAGCACAACTAGAGATGGGCTTGGTTTTTTGCACGAACGAAATTTTTTGGAGAAAAAAAACGATGGACGAACGAAACGGATCGTTCAGAGATATGAAAAAAGCATCGTTTTAAAAACCAACAAAAATAAAATCGTGTATCTTTACTGAACGAACGATTTTGCTGAACGATCGATATTAGTTCAGTAAGAAAACAAACGAAATAGATGGAAATTGAACGATAATTTTGAAAACGAACGAAATGGAAATAAAATCGAACGTTTACATCCATAGGCATTACATAATACCACAAAGTACCACTAAGCACCATAAATTAAATTCAGGTTTGTACTTGTACGATACACTATGTACACAATAGTTACAGCATTGATCAAATATAGCCCCAAACTTTTTGAAAAAATAGTTTTAAAATTCTTGAGCTCCTAAAACAAAGGCTATACTTCCCTGGAAGCCTGAAGTAGCCCCCCGGTAGGTTTTAAAAGGCCTGGAGTTAAAAAAGCATTAAATCTGAAAAATCCCTCGAAAATTCTGAAATAGTAACAATTCTTCAAATACAAACTATTTTGATATAAATCACCCCCCGCTCTTCCTCCCCCTCTACCATAATTTTAACACAGAGACTTCATAGACTCAAAAAAGACCATTTTCAACATTCCTGCATTTTTTAACCCCATCGGCCATCGCAGGGTTTTGCAACTCAATCAAAAACTGAGACTGGAGAGAATAAAAAATAAATTGTATATATTACACATTCTTTTATCTTCATTATCTATCCATCGTTTAATATTTTGTTGAAAATTTAGGAAGTTTTGAAGAAAATTTAAACAAGTGTCTCCTCTAAACTCTTCTTCTTCTTATTATCTATATAATCTATAGATTAAACACAGTTCGGCTAAGAGTACCAGAAAGACGACCTTCAATAAAATATATGTACCGCTCCGCTGAAAAATTGTTTACCATAAGCTCTAATTGGGCTTTTTACAGATTTTTTTTAAAATCTCATTCACAAAAGCCCAGAAATAAGTTTCTCAAAAAAATGTCTCCACGCGGAATAGACCCAAAAAACTGTGAATTTGAAACAACAACAACATTACATAATATTACTAAACTGAAAAACAAGTTATGATTACTGAACTGTCGTCCTCCTATTTCAAAGTTGTTTGGTTTCACTGAACTTAAATTTAACTTTTTTAAACAATAGCATTTAGTAAATAAATTAGAAATTTAGATATATATTTAAATGCGTATAATTTGAAAACAAACGAACCCCCAATTTTTAAAAAATTATAATTTTATGTTTAATAATTGAATATTTATTAGTTTAAATAATTTCACAATCTTAATTTGTCTCCCTCTCCCTCTCTCAATATTTCTGCCTCTCTGTTGTCCAAAAAGACGGTAAAGTAATTATGTATAAAAGATGGGAGGTGGGTGTTTGCCTGCCAGACCAAATTTTTGGGTATCCTCCCCCCACCCCTTATATCCTATCTATTTCCTCCCCTCCCCAATACCCTCCCCTTCTCTTCCATTCCCTTCTCCCCTTCCTCCTACCCCCCCCACTCCTCCCTCCGATCCATCCATAGTTTCCGGTTCTGTTTCGGGACCTTTCCATGGTGGTAGAAATAGATTAGAGGAGTAGGGAGCTAGGTAGAGGAGTATGGAGCTTGGTAGAGAAGTAGGGCGCTAGGTAGAGGAGTAGGAAGCTAGGTAAAGGAGCAGGGAGCTAGGTAGAGAAGTAGGGAGCTAGGTAGAGGAGTAGAGAGCTAGGTAGAGGAGTAGGGAGCTAGGTAGAGGAGTAGAGAGCTAGGTAGAGGAATAGGGAGCTAGGTAGAGGAGTAGAGAGCTAGGCAGAGGAGTAGGGAGCTAGATAAAGGAGTCAGGAGCTGGATAGAGGAGTAGGGAGCTAGATAGAGGAGTACGGAGCTAGATAAAGGAGTAGGGTGCTATATAGAGGAGTAGGGAGCTAGATAGAGGAGTAGGGAGCTAGATAAGAGAATAGATTAAGGCTAAGAAAAAAGAATATCGAGCTGCATAAAAATTGTTGGAAGTAATAATTCAGGTTATAAGTCAGGGGAAATGAGGACTTTTATACCTGTTACACAGACCTTATTAGTTCCCCTCCCCCCCATCAATGTCAACCCTATAGCTACCCTCTTCCTACCACAGTTTTTGGGAAACCACGTTCTTCCCCTTTCTTCCGCCATAAATTTAGATCCATTGCATCCTCCCCCTGCTCCCTTGCCCTTCCTCCCCCTCCCCGCTGACCATTCCCTTGCCCTGCACC